CAAATTAGCCCAAAAAGAGAGGTCACACAGAGAAGTCTGAGGGAGAGTCTTCTAGGGAAGGATGCCTAGCTAGACCCCAACTGCTCTAGTCCCCATTATTCCAGTTTTAGCTGCATCTGATTATAATAGCTTAATAAATTCTGAGCCAGAACTCAGGCTCTCCACCTGAGCCAATTCAGAACTCCTATGCCACAGAAACTGTGAGACAGTAAAGTCATTGTTGCTATTTTAAACCTCTAAAATTTGTTTCACAGAGCAAGTTGTAACTAGCACTGACCCCATAATCAGAAATTTGAGCCCTAACTGCCTTCAGTGGAGGAATCTGAGCTTAATTGATCCAAAGACCATCAGAAAAGTTCAGCAATAGGAGGACCCTAGGGCAGGAAGGGTGCCTGACTGGCTTAGTCTGCAGTGCATGCTACTCTTGATCTCAGGGTTGTGAGTTTGAGCCCCATGTTGAGTGTAGAGATTACTTAAAAATAGAATCTTAAAATTTTTTCTTAGAAATCAGAAGAAAACACATGATGAAAACATGGATAAATTGTAAGTCTTTAGTGAGAATCCCAGATCCCCACTTTTATCTGAGCCATCAAAGAACCAGAGACACTCACTGCAGGAAGGACAAGGATTATTCTCTGAACAAAGTGAATGGAGAAGCCTTGACAGAAACAAAAGAGGGACGGCTGAAGGGTAAAGAACTCTGGCTAAAGAGAAAGAACACAGTGGGTCACATGTCCACGTCTAAATCACTTTCTCATTTGTTAAAGAGAAGTAGACCAGAATGATCTCTAAATCAGATGTCCACAGTAAAAATCTGTGATTCTATCAAAAAAAAAAAAAAAAAAAAGAGCAAGCAAGCCACAATATGAAGTGTTTTTTAGTCAATGGAAATTCTAGTTCACTTCTCATAACATGTAGTTCTTTTAGAAATAGCACTAGAGATTATACAAAAAAAACCCCAACCCTTCAGTTAAGGTACTTTAATGACCTCTGGCTCTCCATCCACCCCCCCCCCCCACACGATCAATTAAAAGGGTATGGGCCATGGTATAAATCTAGGGCTATAGAGCTGTTACAGTCTGTAGACCCAAAGCAACAAGAGAAAGGAATGATTATCAGAACATGGAGAGTGAATCAAGTAGAGTAGGCCACTGTGAGAGGAATAGTGACTTCCCAGAAAGGCAACAGATGGCTAGAGGTGAACTTTCAGAGGGGAAGCCAGAGGAATAATTATGCTGACCTTATTCTTCTAGTTTACTGTGTTTCCTCCTATTGGCTAGAGTCAATTGGAAACCTGAGAGCACTGATTCCATTGATGCATTCCTTGCCCTTGGACTCCAGGAGAGCAAGCGGGTAGCTCTGGTGGAGCAAAAGGAAGATCGCCAACACCGCCAACATAGAGTGCTGATAAAAATGTGATAATCCTAGCTTTAGAGAGGAAGTTGAAATCACTTTTTTAATATATATGTGAATTCTTGATTTTGAACAGTAGGTGAGAAAACTAGAGATATTCTGTGGTGTGAGGAGTCTAGAATAAATAGTTCAAAAATCAATCTTTTTCTGTTTTGCCTGTTTTGACTTGAAGAAATATTGAGTAATGACTGATGGCATACACTTTCGTGTTTACTCTTTATCCATGAAAATAATTCCTCTTCTCTTTGATTATTCACATCCAATTTGTGTCAACTATACATGTGATAATACGGCATGCTTATGTCAGAAGTGTCTGATATTTTGTTTTTTTTGTCAGAGGACTTCTATCTTGCATTTGCAACTTAGGAATTTTCCTAAGCAGGCAAAAACACTGTAGGGAAAGAGGTAAAGCCTTAGTTACAATATGTACTGCAGTGATGAAATACAGAAACACAAATGTATTTTGCTACATACAAAATCACTGTTTGCAATTACTTAATAAGTAACTTACTACACACATAAGCTTATGTTTCCAGAAGAAATTAATTTGTTCTCCACATGACAAATATATCTTTTCTGGGTCTCACAGCTCTAAGTCCTGTCCTACCAAATCCTTTAGGATCTATATTGACTAGATTAACACAAATCCTATACAGACAGTCCAAGTAGGTAACAATGTTGATAGTTGTCTCCACCGCGCCCCACCCCCCCGGTCCCGCAAGAGTTCTCCACCACATTAACAAGGATAAATTCCCTCATGGGGGTGAGTACAGAAGGTCTTGACTAGTTCCTCTTTCAGAACTTTTCTACTTACCTTAAAACTTTTGACTTCTGTTTCCATTGGCCAGTTACATATCTCAATCTAGTTCAGTTTAAGAGCATCACTATCTACTCAAGCCAACCCATTTTTCTCCCAAACAAGAAACTCAGAAATTAGTCTCAGCATTTCACATTTTCCCATCCCTCATACTCACATATTTTACAAGTTTGGTAGGGTTCATTTTCTAGAATACTCTGGAATCTACCCTTTCTTCTCTTACCCACTCCCATAAAATTTCACTGAAAATAACCCAATTGCCTCTTCACTAAACTTTCTGACCTCATCTTCCTTTCCTCTCCCTGTCCGTTAGTTTTTCCCTAAGACATCCGACAACAATCCTTCTATTATCTTTCCAAATGCATATTTAATCACATCGGTGGAATTCTTAAAGTTTTAGTTTCTCCATAGGGCCCACAAAATCTACTGCTTTGAATGCTCATCTTCACACTCTGCCCTTCTCTATTTAGTCAGCCTTTCTCTGATATGCAATCTCTTCTGACCTGTAAAAATTCATATCTTCTGTCTGTACTTATGCAGTCTTCCCTCTTTGGGCATTCTCTGCTTATCTAAATCCTCTCCATAATAATAGCATGAAGATAATTTATTCTGTACTACCAAGGAATGGGTACTATGCTAAGCACTATATATTCATTAAGTGTTGTAAGCACCATTTTACACTGAGGAAATTAAGACAAATAATTTGTCCAAGATCACATTTGAAGTAAATGTCAAAACTGGAATTATAATTCAGATCTATCTCAATCCATGAGTTGAACATTTAAATGTTGTCCCCATTACAATATAACATCTAACTCAGGTCAAGCTGTACTCCATCCTTACATTCTAGTGTAAAGGTAGTCCCTCTTCTTTCATTGCTAGTTACTGTTTAAACTGACAGCAAACTATTTTATATTAAATGATTCTTTAGTATTTTCATTTTTCTAAAACTTACCTGAACTAGGTTGTAAATTCTTTGTACACAGGGAATTAAAGAAACTTTTAACATGCCTCCACAAGGGTATAGCATATTCTTTAAAAAAAAATTTTTTTAATGTTTATTTTTGAAAGAGAGGGGCACCTGGATGGCTCAGTTCAGGAAGTGTCTGACTTCTGTTCAGGTCATGATCTCACAGTTCGTGGGTTCCAGCCCCGCGTCAGGCTCTGTGCTGACAGCTAGCTCAGATACTGGAGCCTGTTTCAGATTCTGTATCTCCCCCTCTCTCTGACCCTCCCCTGCTTACGCTCTCTCTCTCTCTCTCTCTCTTTCTCTCTCTGTCTCTCTCTCAGAAATTAAACACTTAAAAAAATCTGAAAGTGAGTCAGAGTGTGAGTGGTGGAGGGACAGAGAGGGAGGGGGGCACAGAATCTAAAGCAGGCTCCAGGCTCTGAGCAGTCAGAACAGAGCCTGACACCTGCCTGATCTTACAAACGTTGGGATCAGACGTGAGCCCAGTAGGCCCCTAGCATATTCTTTTAATAGTAAATAGCTATCTCTTATTGAGGCAGGTTAGAAGTGTGCTTTACATATCTCCATCATCTCATTTACACATGGAAATGAATATTCAATATTTGCTTAACTTAAATCAGGAGCAGACAAGATGAATTATATTTAGAGGATATAAATGAATGTAAAATTTTCAGCAAGAGCAAACACCCAAAATATGTGTATGTATTCCATTTTTTCTGTCTCTTCCTTGTTGGGCCATACTTTTTTAATGTTACTTCTGGACTTCTCTGTACTTGTAATTATTTGAATTGGTATTCTACCTTTATGCTAATAATTAGCACCAGACTGAATATTCAAGCTACGGATTTTGGCAAATATAAAGTCCAAATTTTGTTAATACATTATTTTATATCTATATCTCTAAAGTATTTATACTTTCATATGCTCTCTTCCTTCTTTCGAAGACATGTTGGTTTTAAATAAACCCACTGTTAAGTAATGCTGCGATAGGCCTATTTCTGAGAATTTATTCGTGGTAGGATCTTCGGAGTTTTTTCTTCTGAGGGGTGTAGTTCTGCATCCTTTGGAAGTGTTTTCCATGACCCCTCAATCCCTTAGGTCAAAAGCGCACTAAATAAGGATGGTCCAAAAAACAATGTCCTGGAGAGCGGCCCACCGGGCGGCGACACCAACACCTTTGTGGCCAGAGGTCCAAGTGTGCGCGCACTGGACCGAAGAAGGCGGTACCAGCTGGACTAGCTACCTTAAGCCCAGCGGTGAGAAACCTCAGGAAGCAGGTTTCAGCGCGAAGGCAGCATTCGGGCTCGGCGGTAAATTCGGGCCCGGTGGGAAGTTCGCGAAGCTGAATCCCGGGTACTTTCCTGGGCAGCGGGTCCCGCCTGGCCGCGTTGGCGGGCGGTGTACTGCCGAGCGCGGTGGGGCAGAGTCACTTCCTTGTGTGCTTTCTCAGAAATCTAGGCCGCGCCCGCCCGCACCCCCATATTCATAATCATACAAGTGCACGCCAGAGTTTCTTATTTTGGAAGTGTTTTTGAGACCACAGAAACCGTATCCACTAGGCCTAGGCCCAAAACCGAGACTAAGCCGGGAACCCCTGTGGTAAGGCTTTGTACCCAGCCGCCAGAAACCCGAAGGCTAGAGGGCGTGTCCAGGGCCCAGGTGCAGGCATAGAGACAAGTAACGGCTCTCGGCAGCCCCGCCCCTCTACCCGCCCTCCCTGCACCCGCCCATCTTGGTTCTCCAGGTCTGTAGCTTCTTCCACGGCTGCTTCCTCTTTAAGGCGGAGCCGGGCGTCGATCTCGCGAGATCCGGGTTGGCGCCGTGACCTCCATGTGGGAGCGAGAGCTCTATAAGTAAACACTCCGCGCGGCTCAGACGAGGTTTCTTCCTATTTGTGAGGCGGGGGCTGCGCCAGCGGCGTCCCCTGCGACTGGTTCCGGTTTCCTTTCCCTCTCAGCTCCGCTGGGCAGGCGTGAGGTCTAGCGGTCGCCGCCGCCTGTGAGGCCCAGCGTCTGATCGGCTTCCTTCGTTTGTGCGCGCGCTCGCCCGCCGCCTGCCGCGAGCCGGAGCGTCTGGGGAAGCTGCACGGGCCGGGAGGGGCGCGGCGTCCGAAGCGCAGGGGGAGACAAAGCCGGGCCAGCCCCCTTTCCCCGCGCCAGGATGTGGATCCAGGTTCGCACCATCGACGGCTCCCAGACGCGCACCATTGAGGACGTGTCTCGCAAAGCTACAATTGAGGAGCTGCGCGAACGGGTGTGGGCGCTCTTCGACGTGCGGCCTGAGTGCCAGCGCCTGTTCTATCGGGGCAAGCAGGTGAGGCGTCCCCACCGCGCCCCCTCGGGAAGTCCGGGAAGAGGGCTGCAGGGCGCCTCCAAGAAGCTTGGGTTCGGCGGGCCGGAGGGCTTGGTGCGCAGCGCGTGTAGAGAGCACCTGGCTTCTTTTCGGGTGGGCAGCCCGCGAGGCTCAGAGTGCAGGCCCAGGGCTCGCCGAGGGGCCGCAGCGGGTCCCTACCATCTCCTTGTGGAAGTGCGCCCGGAGGGGTCAGAGGCGGGGACGCCCAGAGCGCGGAGACTTCGCCGCTCTTTCTCAGCTGGGCAACAGCAGCTGGCACAGCCCGCTAGAGCGCCTGGGTTCCTTCGCTTCCCGCGCTCAGTGGGGTCCGGCGCCCCTGCAGGCGGGGAGGGCAGCTGGCTCTGGCCGCCATGCCACGGTGCGGGTGGGGAGGGCCGACGGCTCCAGCTCCCGGCAGCGCTGACCCGGCTAGCGGCTCCCAAAGAGGAGGGGGGAAACTTAAAAATCGCTTCCTCTTTGGCACAAAATCCCTAGTTTTGCCTCCTCGCTGTGAAGGGATTTGAACACGCTGAAGATTCGAAGATTTCCCAAAACTTTTGGCTCCCCTCCCTCACCTCTTCTAGAATTGGAATCTGTCTTGAAGATTAGAGACTTTGGCTGAAGGAGCGAGCTATTGATTTAACTCCGGGTATGTGTAGGCAAGGGGGATTACTCGCAGAGTGGAAAGGAGTACGAAAGGCTGTTTAATTCCTCTTGCTTCTCACCTTCTAATGTAGTCCCACTCACCCAAGCTTTTAACACTGCAACTGGAGCATAATCAGTGGTACATACAAGGCTGGAAGTGGTTTTGGCAGTGAGGGTGTTTGTGGGTGTCTCTGGTAGTTCTGTGTATGGTATGGCCCTGCCCTGACCTATTGAAGTCTCATGGTCTATACCTAGAGACAGGTCTCTATTTTGTCTTTGTCTTATTGCTTTTTTTTTTTTAATTCACTAAAAATGGTGGCATTCTTCAGTTGGACAGACCAGTTTGGCTTCAGTTCTGTGGTGTGGAATAAATGTAGCTCTTTGATTTGGTGGAAGTAGCGTCTTCCTAGAGCCACAAAGGATTTGAAAGGAATATTTTTCTTCCCCTCATAGGCTTAGCTTCAAAAACTACCCAGAAATTTCAGAGTAACAAGATTATACTCAGAGAAAGAGCCAGGGTTTATTTTAATGTTTTTATTTTAAAAATTTTTAAATGTTTATTTATTATCCAGAGACTGAGAGACAGAGCATTGGCAGGGGAGGGGCAAAGAGAGGGGGAGATACAGAATCTGAAGCAGTCTCCAGGCTCTGAGCTGTCAGCACAGAGCCCAACAGGGCTCAGACCCACAAACTGGGAGATCATGACCTGAGCCACCCAGGTGCCCCTATTTTGTTTTTAAATAAGTGATAACATCTAGTGTTTGCAACTTTTATATTGATCATTTACTGTTTGACTTGTAAAAACAGATGTTCAATTTAGTTGTAAACCTTGCTTTTGAAATCATGTGTGTGTTAAACCCCATGTAGCTTTCTATTGCTGTACCTCCAGTGATCCCTTTTTTATCTTTTGGTCAAAGATGAACATTATGTTATCAGGTCTTCTGAGTTTTATTTTCTAACTAGGGATAATAGTACATGAATTCTGGGACACTTAGGTGAGTTCAGCACAAGACATAGAAATGAAACATCACAATGTGTTCCTGGGCAACATGCTCAAGTCTAATTACCAAATATGTGAAAAGAGAACCTGCACCTGGCTGTCTTGAGGAAGAAGGAGAAATAGGGTTACATTTAGGGCAACAAAGTAGACTTCCAGTAAACCAGCAAGCCGGTTCCAGGTTTAGGGAAAAACTGTTCAGGGTAATTACCCTTTTGTACTTATTTCCCCAGGATCAGTAACTCACTTCTTTGATTTCTTTACCTCATTGATAAACCAGTAGGGATGAGGAATGGACCTTTGGTGCCCCATTGAGTTGAAGACAAGGATGACACTGCTCTGCTGTGTTTACTTCTTTGTGAGCTAAGTAGCCATGGCCTTGATTATTATCTCCATTCTCCTTTACTCTTTGGAGTTCACAGTCCATGGCCAGGGGAGTATGTCTATAACAGACACTACTGGATTGGCATCACAGGGTTTCCCTTCCTAGCTTGTAACCTGCCTTTGTACTTATTAGACAAAGGCACCCGTTAATTGCCACATAATAAAAAAAAAATGTCATAAATAAATTTATGGTGTCTGTGATGTAAGTTGTACCCTTTCTCTCTTACCCTCACCCATTTTTGTTAGGACTGTTGCTTATAATCTTTGGTATATGTCACTTGTGGATATTTATTATAGATACTCAGCTCACCCCAGAATTGCAAGTGGTTGAATTTAACAAGACCCCATGGGAGATTCTCATGACCACCAGAGTTGAAAAATAGTTGGTCTCCTAATTTCTTATTGTTCAAAGTATGGTCCCTGAATCAGCAGGACCTGCAGCATTAGCTTCACTTGGGAGCCTCACGCCATACCTGTTGAAGTAGAATCCATATTTTTAATAGGGTCCCTAGGTGATCTCTATGCAAATTAAGTTTGAGAAGCAGTGTAACTGACTCCACTTTTGGGGGTCAAAATAGCAGCAATTCAGGGCTATAAGTTCTGGTTAGAGAGTAGGGTAACCTCACTTGGGATATTATTCTGGGAGTTTGAGTGTGCATCTGGGGATTGGGTCTTTAGGGAAGAGTTATGTTGATGGATCTCTAAATACTTTGAAAATCCAGAGCTTTCCTACTTTTAAAAGAATTTGTTCCCTCCTCTTTTTTTCATTTTTACCACTTGTAGATGGGACATGAATCAACACTGAAGAAAAACTGAGTAGTTGCTTTTGCCCCTGGATTCTGTTTTTACATGTATTACAGAGTAAAAGTTTTTGCCTATTTAAAGAGGAAAGAGAATGTGTATGTCATATTTATATTATGTATATGATGTGAAAGATACATGAAGGTTGTCAACCTCATGCCCTCGACCTGCATCCCTTATCAATAACCCCTTTGGAATGACCTTCCCTCCAGCAATTGTCAATTGGTGTTTGCTTCCTAGTTTTCCCTTGCATCACTGTTCCAGTTCTTACTGTTACCTGGAATTTCTGACTTCAACCCAATACAAATTGAAGACTGCAGTGTGCAAAAAATAAAAAATAATAAAAATTTAAAAAATTCTAGGGCTATTCATGCCTTTTTAGTATTCTAAAACTGCCCCTGTCTTCTAGGATGACAGTTCTGAAACATTTTCAGCTATGAGACATTGATGGACTCTAGTTACGTGCCTGAAACTCATAGTTGTTTGTAATTTCTAAGTGACTCAATCTCTTTCTCACAGTATAAGTGACAATAATTCCAGTCTGCACTATCATAAAATTTGGGGGAACTTCCACTACTTTCCAAGTAACATTCATTCCAACATTATTCACAATAGCCTAGCTATGTGGAAATTACTACCCAATGGCTGATGATCACTTTTTTTGGAAAACTGGATACCTATAAATTAGGGAAGGAGTAGATAATCTGGGTAAAAGTGGCTCTCCTAGCAAATATGAATAATTGAAGAAAAAGTTACGTGTTAATGTAGATCTAACTTCTGTTATAGGGCCTCATACCTTGATATGCTTCATGTTTTACTACACATCTTGCTTTTCCTTTCAAATCCTATGCCGTTTGAAGCAGCTTATGTTATTTGGACCAATCGCCTGGTAGAATCTAGTCAGAGGTATTGAACATGAGAATATCCCCACTATCCCTCTGACTCTTGTGCCTCAGATTTCAATGGAAAAATGTTTATGGAAGCACTTTGGATTTCCAGTTATTTTATCACCTTCACAGCTCTCTTCATTTTAGGAAATATCCTTCCAGTTAATTTGCATGTTCTTTAGTGTTTCGTTTTGTTTTGTTCTGTTGCATGTTATATAAATGTTAACAGAGTTTTTATTTTCTATTTTGAACACTGTCATAATGTGCAAGAGTTGTATGTTTAATCAAATTGTACATTTTGAACTGTTCCAGAACTAGTATGTTCTCACCTTTTGCAGGGAAAGCGATATTGGAGAATGTCAAATGAAGGTGTGAATGTATAATTCTTTTGCTTCTTGAGTTTGTTTTCTCCAGGAGTTCAGGATTAGGGGAAATTGTTGTTTGCTAATATTGCTTACCTTATTTACAAACAAGGGGCGCCTGGGTGGCTTAGTCGGTTAAGCGTCCGACTTTCGCTTAGGTCATGATCTCACGGGTCCTGGGTTCGAGCCCCGCGTCGGGCTCTGTGCTGACTGCCAGCCCAGAGTTTGGAGCTTGTTTCAGAGTCTGTGACTCCCTTTCTCTCTGACCCTCCCTGCTCACGCTGTCTCTCTCTCTGTCTCTCCTAGAAATAAATAAAACATTTAAAAAAAAAATTAAAAAAACAACAACAAACAAAACAGTCTCTAATCCCTGTAAGGACTTACCTGCTTATTGACTTGAGAGACTCTTTAGGCTTATTTGGAATAAGCATGTTAACTAACCTGTAAGATAGTATCTAATTCCCCCACTGGGAAATTTGTGAATTTTAAAAAATCCCTTATTGTAGTTAAAATTGTGAACATCTGTAATGTGCAGGATTGTGCTAGATGTGTTTTGGGATCGCTTGAATTAAAATTGCTTATCTAGTACTTTTAGTAAGTTTATCATTTAAGGACAAACTTTTATTCTTTGGTGGATTTTGGAAATATGGCCTTATTGTGTTAGGGAGTTGAGGATGGTTATTGTGTTAGGGAGTTGAGGATGGTGACAGTTATATACAAAGAGAGGGAAATTAAGAGTGATTAAATTGGTAATGTTTCTGGGGATATGATATTTTGATATTTCTGGATTTTGGTTTTATTACTGTTTCATGGTGAATAGCCAGCTGATTTTATAAAGAAACAGAATGGAGACTATTAGTTTTTGAGGGTTTCTGTACCAAAACCTACATGGCTTAAAATAATAGAAATGTATTGTCTACTATTTCCAGTTTCAGTGAGTATGAAATCAAAGTATTAGCAAGGCCATGTTCTCTGGTGGTTCTAATAGAGAATCCTTCCTTGTTTCCTTCAGCTTCTAGTGTTTGCTAGCAATCCTTTGTAAGTTCCTTGGTTTGTAGGTGCATTGCTCCAGCCATGTGGCTGTCTCCACATCTTCCTTCTGTGTTTGTTTTCGTTGTCCAAATTGAAACTTTTTATAAGGATGTTAATTACAATGGTTTAGGGCCCACTCATATGACCTAATTTTAATTGATTACTTCTGTAAATAAAGTCACATACTGAGATATTTGGGATTAGGACTTTGGCATATTGGGGGTATAGGCAAAGTCTCTACCAAAATATGGGTTAAGTAGCAAGATAATTTATTCACTATTCATTCTGGAAGACTTCATGATGCAACTTGATAACCTTTACAAATAGAATTAGAGAACCTTAGGCAAGTGGAATACCATGAACAATAATTGTAATTATTCCTACTTGAATTTTTTCTTTTCGATTTTTAAAAAAGTTACAGTGCTTCAGAAACATAAACATTTTAAGTTATGTCTTTATGAACACAAGGCCATAAAACCACTTACTTTGAAAATCGCCTTACTTTCTTACAGTGGATTCAGGTACTATTAATTAAAACAGATAAAACTTGGTGAGGAATCTATAGAGTTTTTCTGCCTAGGTGTTGAAGTCACAGAAGCAAGGGTACATGTTTGGTTTCAGTGGCTATCCGTTCCTGAAAACTAATATGAAATGATTCTCAAGAATTTATTGAGGTCCTGAGAAGATGCTGGCGTGAGAGGCCATAAAGTAGAAGGAATGGTTTCAAGTTCACTAAATTGCATTGCTCTGAATTTTGTTTTAATAATTTGGCTAGGACATTTGGGTAACTAAAGATGTAGAAAGATCAAATTTTGAGAGAAGTATTTTAATCTTTTTTTTTTATCCTTTTTTTTCTAGTTGGAAAATGGATATACTTTATTTGACTATGATGTTGGACTGAATGACATAATTCAGCTGCTAGTTCGCCCAGACCCTGATCTTCCTAGCACATCTAAACAGACTGATGTACAGGCCAAACCCTGTTCTAATAGCCCACCTAAAGTAAAGAAAACCCCAAGGGTGGGACCTTCTGGTCAGCCGTCTACATCAACTTGTGATTTTCTTATTGATCCTGGCATTGGGCTATATAAGGTATGTTGTCTCCTTTAGACTTCATGGTTGTGAGAATACAGATGTCTGTTCTCTTTAGAATGTTGCAAATAAGTGAAGATTGATTGCCATTTGAAAGTAAAGACTGAGCTGTTGATACTTTAACTTTTAAAAGTAGTTTTTAAAAATTGTGAAATATATAAATAAATGTATATGAAATGTATAAGTAGAGTGTACAAAATATAAAGCAAAAACCTGTGTAATTCCTGTGAGGTTAAGTAGAATAATGCCACTTCCTTTTTAAAGCTTTCTGTGTGCCCCTCCCAGAACATATCTCCCTCTCTCCTTAAGAGGTAAACTATCCTGATCAATTTGTTTTGTTTTGTTTTTCTTTAGTGTTACGTTACCTCTAGAAAATGTTTTGTTTTCCCTATATTTGAAATCTGTATAATAGAATTCTACTTTTTCACAGCTTTGATTCTCATGCATATAGTTGTATTTTACTTTTCATGATTACATTATTCTGTTAACATGCCACAATATATCTAATCCATGATTAATAAATGCATTTGGGCTTTTCCCAGTTTCAGCTGTTTTGAACCTTTATGTATCCTGGTACACATGTTCTAGAATTTCATTAGGAATTTTTATCTAGAAATAGAAGTGCTCGTTCACTCACAAGATGCTGCGAAACTGCTGTCTACTGTGTTCCATTGGTCTGCTTGTGTATTTCTGTGCTTGTACTATTCTAAGTACTGTAGCCTAGTAGACTGCTACTTCCCTATCCCACATCTCCCAAATCTGTTCCTATTCAAGGGTGTCTTGCTTAACGCTTGCATATAAAATTTTTAAAATTAGCTGTCAAAACTCTGCAGATTAATAATAAGGGATTTTGATGGGAACTGGATCTATAGAGTAGCTTGGAGTATTGACAACTTTATAATATTGAGCCCTTCATTTTGAGCAGAATGTCTCCATTAACTTAGATCTTTGACATCTTTATTAGTTTTTTCTATATATCTTATTCTAGTAACTGCATTTTTAAATGCTATTATAAATGCTTTTCTTTTAAAATTGTGATTTGTTAAAAAATAAATAAAAATAAAATTGTGATTTGTTTGCATACATACAGAAATGCAATTGATATATTTATTGACCCTGTATCTAACAACTTTTTCAAATTCTAATAAATTTTGTAGAAATAATTGGCAGTTTTGCTTCATCCTTTTATATCCTTAAAAGTATTTTTTCTTCATACTGGTTGGGACAAATTAGGACCTAGAGTCAATATTTTAGAGAGTTTTTAAGGCTAAAAATTTAAAAATCAGTAGCTGAAATAAATTATTTAAGAAAATTCAAATATAGATACGTTTTGATCTGGGGAAAAATGCAAAAAATCTCTATATATAGAATCAAGAAAACTGGCCAAGACCTATATCTCCAAAGTACCTGGTCTAGATGGCTACACTGATGAATTACCTTAAACTTCTATTACATTATCTAAATTGACCCACGTTTTTTAAAAAAAGGAAAGATTCCTATTGCTTTGTAAATTTAATATAATACTGATTCTAAAACATGAAAAAGGACACCAATATCACTACATATTGATATAAAACCTAAGTTATATTTAGCAAATAAAATTATGATTATATGTTAAAAGAACATAATACCTTGACCAAGTATGGTTTGTCAAAAAGTGGGATAGTTCATTATTTGGATTTTTTTTTTAATATATAGAAGTTTCAAGTATATAGCTTTATAGTTTGCCACCTAAAATTCAGGTGTACAGCTTTATAATTTGATAACAATACAAGGTGATCACCACAAGCGAGATACCATCTGTTACCACACAGTCGACCCCCTTCACCCATTTCACCCAACCCCCCATGTAGTAATATTAATACAATTCTTCATATTAATAAACCAAAGAAAACAAGTGATCTAATCTAAAAAAAAAAAAAAAGGCATCCATTTCTAATTTTTAAAAATCCTTGGTAAGTGAAGCAGGTGGAATGGATGAGTATTTTAAACGATACCCAGCATCTTATTTAATGGTGAGATAAAAAGCCAGAAGCCTTCCCATTAAAGACAGGAGCCAGAGAAACCAGTTAATGCATGTTTCTAAATGGTGCAGATAGGGAGGAGAACAACAAAGTGTAAATACTGGAGAAGATAAAGTTTTTATTTATGGAGATCTGAAAAGACTAAGAAGATAAACCTATTAAAGTGATATGAACAATCCGTTAGGTAGCTCTTTAAATACCGGTAGCTTTCCTTGCTAAAATCATTTAGTAAAAGAAAAAAAAATTGACAATAAGAAAACGTAAAGTCTGGGGATAAATTAACATGATATAAGCAAGACATATCAATTAAAACAGTGTTTCATATAGTACTCAAAATTTAGACAGAATTATTAATATTGAAAGTCCCCTTTTGGAGATTTCATCCCTCTGAGTAACCAGTATTTTCTGTTTTTTTCTAAATAAATTTGTTATTTTAGAACAATTTTAGATTTATAGCATAATTGGGAAGATACTGGAGTTTTCCATATATCACATACCTGGTTTGCCCTGTTAACTAACATTTTACATTAATATGACACTATGGTACATTAGTTATAATTAATAAACCATGTCTCCTAAGCTTTTTTCTCATGTCCTTTTTCTATTCCAAAATCCCATCTAGGATACCATATTTACATTAGTGTGATAGTAAATAGTTGTTGAAATCTCCTTAGGTTCCACTTGGTTGTGACAGTTTTTCAGATTTTTCTTTGTTTTTTTTTTTTTTTTTTAAATTTTTTTTTNAGAGAGAGAGGGAGTCACAGATTGAAACAGGCTCCAGGCTCTGAGCCGGCAGTCAGCACAGAGCCCGACGCGGGGCTCGAACCCACGAACCGCGAGATCATGACCTAAGCGAAAGTCGGACACTTAACCGACTAAGCCACCCAGGCGCCCCAAGATTTTTCTTTGTTTTTGATGACCTTGATAGTTTCGAGGAGTACTGGTCAGATATTTTATAAAATACCCTTGTATTAGTATTCATCTTGTTTTCCTCATTATTAGACTGGATTTACATATTTTTTTTGGAGAAAGACTACAGAAGTAAATTGCTATTTTCATCACATGCTGTGTAGGGCACAAACTATCAACATTGCATTTGCTAATTATAACTTGGGTTTTTACATCAGTAGTTAACTTGTTGTTGTTGCTTATGAACCTTAATTACCTGGCTGAGGTAACATTTGTCACGTTTCTTCACTGTAAAGTTATTCTTCCCCAACCCCTTTTCCATACTGTATTCTTTGAGATGAAGTCCCTATATGTAACCCAAACTTAAGGAGTTGTAAACTTTACTTCCTTAAGGGTAGATTATCTACAAAATGTATTGGGAATTCTACATGGGAGACTGATCTCATTTCCCCCATTTATTGATTGTTACTCATTTATCCATATCAGTAGGGATATTTTTTCCTGTGTCCCTTCAGTGTATCTCCATTTTTGTGGGGTTTTTTATTTGTTTTTGTTAAAGCACCTTCTTTCTGGCCCTAGAAGTTGCTTCAGGCTCATCTTAGTTATTTCTGCCCCAGCCCTGGAATCAACCATTTCCTTAAGGAACCTTGATTCTTTAATTGGGGAATGGTATTACAAACCAAGATTTGGAGTCTAGGTATAGGTATATTCCTTGCTACTGGAGTATCATTGTTTTTATTAGGACCCTCAGATGACAGACTAAGGAGGTTTATGTATGTATATATAATAACTACTGTGTATCTATATATCCATAATTATTTATGTAGCCATCTGTATCTAAGTTTACGTTTTAACTTTTTGGCTAAGGGCAACAGTTCAGAAGCTGCTACATTTGACTTGATAGATTTTGGGCAGTGAAGGTATGAATTTGTTTTCATAGGAGGGCCAGTTTATATATTGTCCAGATTAAGCAGTCTAGTCAATTTAAATACTTTGTTTAGCATACTTCTCAGTACCCTCGAATGTCAGGGTACTAAGTCAGAAGACCATTATGAGAAACTGCTTTTCTCAGCAGTTCTATGCATTTCATTTTCAGTGTTCCTACTTTGCTCACTGTTTCTAGCACCTAACTTTTCTTTAATACATTTTTCTTTTTTTTCTTTTTAAAGAGGATTCTATTTATAGGACACAGGAGTGTTTTTTTTTTTAAAGCTTTACACTTAGTGTGGGGCTTGAACTAATGGCCCTGAGATCAAGAGTCACATGCTTTACTGACTTGAGCCAGCCAGTCACCCCTCTATTACCTAACTTTTTAAATAACTCTTATGTTTCATGTTAGTATATAGCATAGAGGTTAAGGTATTCAGTTTTGTCATCAGACTTGCTTTCAAATTCCAGTTGAGCTGCTTCCCAGTGGTCCACATGTGGCAAGTTTTACATGGTCTCCTTTTCCTCATTTAGGAAACACATGAAACAGATATGAAAGCTGGAACTTAAGCTCTCAATAGGCTATTAGTAATATTTAGTCAAAGCTGCATTTAACTTATTAGTTGAAGAGAGTAACAGATTTATTTGCTTTTTTGATTAAGCTTGGTAATTGTAGGTATTTGAAATTTTCACTGACTTTTTTTTAAACATAGAAGTGCTTATTTTGGGATAATTCATTCCTCGAATAAATGTTTGGTTATCTAGTATATATTTGTACTAGATTTAGAGATGCAAGAGTAAACAAATGATATTACCCCCTGCTTTCATGGGATATTATTAGCTATTGAAACTTGTCTTTGGCTAACCTGAAAACGCTCAGAAGCTGCTACTTTTAAATTGATTTGTTTTGAATATTTTCCTTTGAGCTCGTTTCTGAATAGTACATCAAAATTTAATTAAATTGTTCCTAGATCGGTAAAATTGGAGGGTTTTTTTTTTTTTTTTTTTGCTTTTATCTTGAATTACTGCTTACGTCACTTTTTCTTTGCAAAGATTTTCCTTTCATAGACTTAAGACTGTCTATAATTAAAATTGCTTTATAGATGTGCAGACAGATTTGGAGGTTTCCCTTTTGCCTAC